TTTATTTATTTGAAAGACAGAGCTACGGGGGGGGGGGGGGGGCACAGGGACATCCTCTGTGTGCTGCTTCTCTCCCTGAATGGTCACAACGCCTGAACCAGGCTGAAGCCAGGTTACAGGAGATTCCTCCTGGACAACCACAGAGGTACGGGGGCCAAGCACTTAGGTGATCTTACTTTCCCAGACACATCAGCAGGGAGCTGGAAAGTGGAGTAGCTCAGAATCAAACTGGTGCCAGCGCCTTACGTGGCAGTTTAATCCGCTTTGCCACTGCATGGCTCCAACTACCGTTATTTTAGACAGTTTTGTACATGAACCAAGTTTCACATCAAGATCAGGTGCGAACTGTCCACTTGTGACATGATGCTGACATGATGTTGACATGATGTTGGCGCTTGAGTTTTGCGTGTGAGTGTTTTGGTTTTCACATCTTTCGATTAGGGATGCTCAACCAGCAGTACAATCTTCTATGACTTTCAACAGCTTTGAGGGGGGCAGAGTTAGAAAGGACAATGTGGGGCTGACACTGGGGCTCAGCAAGACAGGATCCCACCTGTGTCCCAGCAGCTCCACTGCCAATCCAGCTCCCTGCTTGTGGCCTGGGAAAGCAGACGAGGACAGCCCAATGCCTTAGAACCCTGCACCTGTGTGGGAGACCTGGAAGAGCTACTGGCTCCTGGCTTAGGATCAGCACAGCATCGGCCATTGCGGCCAGATGGGAGTGAACCATTGGAATTGGACAGAAGATCTTCCTCTCTATCTCTCCTCCTCCCTGTATATCTGACTTCCCAATAAAAATAAAATAAATCTTTAAAATAAATAAGTAAATAAATCAAAATTTTTTAAAGGACAATATGTTATTGTTATCCTACGTGCACGTCCTTCCTGTCTCAATAGGGCCTTTTGACCTTCCAGGCACAATGCAATCTCTTTCTTTAGGAAACTGCATGCATACCTCTGGGGCACACAGACCTTTCCGCTCTCTAGATGCCAAGTCTGAAGTCTGGATGCTGTCTTCAGTAGCTACCCCCTGAATATCTGACATGGCACACAGCCAGCTTCCAGGGTGTGCCCGCCAGTACCTAAGGAGAGGACCCGTGACTCCCTGCGTTAGCACAGCCATGTGGCCAGCACTACCACCCAACTAACCTAAGGTCAGAGCTGACTGAGCGCCAGCAGGATGAGCCACCTGCACTAACATATGTTAAAGAGTGTGTTAAAGAGTGAACAGGGACACAAAACCAAACACCAATGTAAAAGCTATCTGAACGAAATAGCTCAGCATAAACAATGATCTGCAATGACCTGAAAATAAAAACAAACAGATAAACAAAAGATTAAATTCTGTGTCTTACACAAAAATCCTACAGATACATACATTAGAGGGCAATGAACCAATCAGGGAATGTCACAATAAAAACTGATTTATGATTAAAGTCAACAAGCGGGTTTTTATGAATTCAAACCCACTGTCTTACTTTTTCCAAATCCCAAGTCCCTTCTCAGGTATTAAAAAAAAAAAGAAAAAAAGAAAGAAAGAAGGAAAACCCCAGGCACCAAGAATCTCATGGGAGTCACATGAATAAGCACACTACTTTCCATGCTAAGGAAGTTACTGTCAGGCCGTTCCCTTGCTCCTGTCTCAGCACAGAGTGGTTCCTGCAATGCCAGCTAACCGGCAGGGGCCCGGAGAGGCCTGCCCGGAGATGTTCTTGCCCATGGGCCACAGCTGAGCCCTGCAGGGTGGCAGGCTTCACCGAGGCCTCTCTGGGAGCCTGGGAGGGCAGAACAAGTTGGCTCGCCAGGTCTTCCCAGCTGCTCAGGTCCGTGCCTGACCAACGGCCTCCTCCCCCACGCTGTGCAACACGGCCCACAGTAATCTGCCAGTCCCCTTCCTCCGAGACTTGCTTTTCCCACCAAAGCTGCCAGTGCGGTCAATGTCACTACCTCCATCTTCACTAGACGCATCTACTTCCTCTTTCATTCCCCTGTCCCTCTTCCCACATATGTCGCCAAGTGAGGCTGAGTCTCTTTCAGGTGTTTCTGGAACCATTCCCAGCACTGACATCCGCTTGCAAGGCACTACTGGAATGGTCATGTCTCTCTGGGCTGTGGCAGTGAAGGCTGAACTGGCTCTCCTGTCTCCAGCCTCTTCTCTAACACCTACTACATGACCGTCGGCACAGATCACACTGGGTCCTCCTGTCTCCTCACTCCTTGCCTCCACCATAAAGTGCCTCCTTGATAGAAACCCTTCTCAATCCAACTTGGCAGAATCCCTACCTGTGTTCTGGATAATAGGAACTGCTGCCTTGGCTCTCTGCAAACAACAATTCTCTTTTTTTAATATATATTTATTTTTATTGGAAAATCAGATTTGCAGAGAGGAGAGACAGAGAAGAGATCTTCCATCTGGTCATAATGGCAAGAGTTGAACCAATCTGAGCTTCCTCCTGGTCTCCTGTGCGGGTGCAGGGTCCCAAGGCTTTGGGCCAATATCTACTGCTTTCCCAGGACACAAGCAGGGAGCTGGATGGGAAAGAGAGAATCCAGATACGAACCAGCACCCATATGGGATCCTGGCACTTACAACATGAGGACTTTAGACCCTAGGCTACCACACTGGGCCCAACAATTACTTTAAGCCTCTAGCCCCTTGCTCAGGCTGTTTCATCTGCTTGAAATGATCTTACTGACTTTGGGGCTGAAAGAAGGGTAGTTCTGTTTGGGACCCATGCTAAAAGTCTTGCTATTCTACATAAGCCTGCTGTGTCTATCAGCACACTTACGAATCTGAGTGTCTCTGTATACTTTGTGCAAACCCTTACTTGGAGCTGGTCTTGGGTCAAAATAATTTAAAGTCTTTTATCTACTCAGTTGTTGCTGGCACAAACCCTGGCACATAGGAAGTATTTAATCAGTACTCATTATCTAAATGAATGAGGAACCTAGTGGTAGGAAACTTCCACTCATTACTTAGGAAGTAAAGGCTAAGGAGGGGAGTCACATGCTGACATGTGTTTTCTCTTCCGCCTCCTCAAATCACAAATCCTGCTCTCTGAATGTGACTGTGGCTGCTGCAATTATGTGAACAACCTGCAATAAATGGACGATGACCTTGACATCTGGGAGGATGTCACCAAGATGAGCCTGGAAATCCAAATCAACCTCGTGGGTGAAGGAGCTGTGTGAAGGCGTATTACCATGGCTGGGCCTGCCTGCGCTCCTTGTCAGATCAAGTTAACACCCGTTCTACCAGGTGCTACAAGCACTGCACACCATGCTGCCCAAAGGAGCTTGCAGAAGAATGCTACGTGAAGCAGGCATTTTCCAGCAGCACACACCAGTCTAGCACATCCACAGCAGGCAGCACCAGTGAACTGTAGCACGCCCAAGAACGCGCGATATTCACCAAAGTGTGGAGAACTGGGAAGTGGAATGAACTTTCATGCTTTTAAAAATATATTCTAGTTGAAAATGACATGAACAGAGCCAAGATTGCTGTTCATTCTGTGTAAGGAAGTTGAGCCGAACACAGACAAGCCCGGGCTCTAATTCTTGGCCTAACATCTCAAAACTCAGAGCCTAATAAACCTTGGCTGAAACAGACTAATCCATGGTTTTATCTGCACCACTAAATACTGAAAATAACTTAAGGAAAGAGGGGAGTTAGTTATTTTAAAACAACTGAAGATTAAGAAAAATATTTACCCTAACATTACTACAAAATAAAGGAGGAAAAATACCAAAAAAAAAAAATTGTCATTATCATTACCACTGTGTTACAAAGTGAAACACTCATGGTGGAAAAGAAACACATTAAGGACCCAGCAGCGTGGCCTAGCCTAGCGGCTAAAGTCCTTGCCTTGAATGTGCCGGAATCCCATATGGGCACCAGTTCTTAGCCCAGCAGCTCCACTTCCCATCCAGCTCCCTGCTTGTGGCCTGGGAAGGCAGGCGAGGACGGCCCAAAGCCTTGGGACCCTGCACCCATTTGGGAAACCAGCAACAAGTTCCTGGATCCTGGCTTCGGATCGGCACGGCACTGGCCGTTGTGAAAACTTGGGGAGTGAATCCTCAGACGGAAGATCTTCCTCTCTGCCCCTCCTCCTCTCTGTGTATCTGAATTTGTAATGAAAATAAAATAAACCTTAAAAAAAAAAAAAGAAACACATTAAAAGGAACTTTTGCACAGCATACAAGAACAGCTGAAGCAGGAGCTAATAAGACAGCTCACCCACTACTTTCCCCGTCTTCTCTTCCCATCGCTCAAATTATTTAGTAAAGCACAACAGCAGGAAAAAAGATACCAGATGAGCTGACTCGGTGGCAGAGGCAAAGATCATTTCACTATAAACTCAAGAAAACAGGCTGGCATTGTGGCACAGTGAGTTCAACTGCTGCTTGTGGATGTATCCCTTGAGTGCTGGTTTAAGTCCCAGCTGCTTCACTTCCAATCCAGTTCCTGTGAATGTCTGGAGACACAGCATAATGTCTGAGCAGAAGACGAGCCAAATGCCTCGGCCCGGCCACCATGGATGAGATCTGGATGCATTCCAGCCACATGGCTTTGGCATGGCACGGCCTAGGCATGGCAGCTTTTCAAGGAGCAAACCAGCTGACAGAAACCGTAACTGACTGGTCTCAAAATGCTAAACTAACAGAAGGCACCCACGATCATGCCTGCAAAGTTAGCAAGTACAAATTCTAAATACATCAATTTCAATTAGCAATGAATAAAAGATTCACTTCACAAGAATTCATTTGTTAAACAAATGAACTCTGCTCTAAGAAGCCAGCGCATCAAGTAAGACTCTTATGAGTATTACCCAAGTTAGGAGTAAGCAATAATGCCATTCTACAAAGAGCCACCTTTGTGACGATCTACAGTGACAGATGAGTCACCCTTTGTTTCTTAGCCATTCCTTGAACGAGGTCGGCCACACGAGTGGGCCACGCATTCCCTGGGATGCACCGCACTGGTGCTTCTGTGTTCTTACCAGCTTAATTTTAGAAGAAAGATTTTCTGGCAGTTTTGTTCTCAGTTGACTTGTTTCCTTGAATGTTGGAGGAAATCCACTTAGGAAAGCCAGATCTTGCATTAGTACTAATCCAGGGACTTCTTTATCTGTCGTCTAAAGCGAGGGAGGGAAAAGCCCAAGTCACTTCCCACATCGCGAAGGCAGCGAGAACTTCCAGCTGCGAAAACAAGCCGCACCGCACCACACAAGCTTCCGAGTAAGAGGGTGACGATGACTCAACAATCGTTAAAGTTAATAACTATCTTACAGGAACAAGTAAACATTAAAGGAATCTCTCCATCACAAGAAAAAACGTACATATTTGAGGGCACAATATTGACATATATTAAGACATCACATGGTTTCCCACAAACACATATAATTTCCATGTTAATTAGAAACACATAGAGTGCTTTAAAATGAGCTTCACGGGAAAGCCTTTATCCTTCATACATTTACTCTAGACTAATGCAGAAAAAATTAAATGCAAAATGATTTACCAAGTGGCCCCTCCAAACTGCCTGTTTGCTGTTTCGTTTCAACAGTCCAGTGTAGGCATCTTCAACTACAAGAAAAACACACAATCAACAAGCAGATTTTAAATACATACTTAGCAGGATATTTAGAGTCATTCAGCTATGTACAAAGTCTCAAAAGAAAGGAAGCTGTGAGAGACAAAATTAACCCATGCAATAAAGGGGAAACAATATAAACCAGGGCACAATTAAACAGCATGTTTTGCAGTGGCGAAGGAGAGCTTTGCGCAGGCAGCAGAAACACGGGATGCTTTGCGGAAGAAGTCAAGTTAAAGCTAGTCTCCAAGAAGGAAATGACAGGATGACAGAAATCACAGAAATACTGATGTTTGGCCCTAAATATTTATTTTAAAGAGAAATTTAATTACTATCAATATGTACTTTATTTAAAAAAAAAAAAAAAGTCTTAGCTTCAGTTGACCATGAGTTCAATGAGGTAACAGAGTGCTAAATTTCCACTGCTTTGTGTGTGTGTGTGTGTGTGTGTGTGTGTGTGTGTGTGTGCGCGCGCGCCAGGGCCCGGCGCAGCAGCTTAGTGGCTAAAGTCCTCACGCTACAAGTGCCAGGATCCCATATGGGCACTGGTTCTAATCCCGGCAGCCCTGCTTCCCATCCAGCTCTCTGCTTGTGGCCTGGGAAAGCAGTCGAGGATGGCCCAAGGCCTTGGGAAACTGCACCTGCGTGGGAGACCTGGAAGAGCTTCTGGCTCCTGGCTTTAGATTAGCTCAGTTCTGGACATTGCAGACACTTTGGGAGTGAAACAACGGATAGAAGATCTGTCTCCGGGCCCGGCGCGGTGGCGCAAGTGGTTAAGGTCCTCACCTAGCACGCCCGGGATCCCATATGGGCGCCGGTTCTAATCCCGGCAGCCCCGCTTCCCTTCCAGCTCCCTGCCTGTGGCCTGGGAAAGCAGTCAAGGACGGCCCAAAGCTTTGGGAACCTGCACCCGCGTGGGAGACCCGGAAGAGGCTCCTGGCTTCGGATCGGCATAGTATCGGCCCGTTGCGCTCACTTGGGGAGTGAATCATCGGACGGAAGATCTTCCTCTCTGTCTCTCCTCTCTGTATATCCGCCTTTCCAATGAAAAAATAATAAAAATAAATCTTTAAAAAAAAAAAAATAAAAAAAGAAGATCTGTCTCCCTGTCTCTTCTTCTCTCTGTAAATCTGACTTTCCAATAAAAATTCATTGATTTTTAAAAACAAGCAGAAATGGGTCATTTATAATAAGAAAACTGATTGTTCCGAAGCATCAACTTATCACTGAAAACTGTTGGGCTGACCTTCAAAATGCTAGGACTCCAAATACTCACAGCTTCACTGCACGCCCCTACGCTAGTCCCCTTCCCTCTGGCCTAGCCGGCTTTGACTCTGGACTCTCTCGGTCTATTCCCACCGCAGCAGGCAGGCTGATCCTCAGGAACACACGTCAGGTCACGTGACTGCTCCACTCACAAGCCTCCAGTGACTTCTCATTACACTCTGATGGCACAGTCCTTGTCTTGGCTACAGAACCTCTACCTCTGGTGCCCGTGATCTCCCAGGCTCATCCCCTGGCCTCTCACTCCTTTGTCCACTCCGTTCCAGACGTACCGATCTCCTCCACCTCCTTCAACCTGAAGCCGCACTCCAGCCTCAGGAACTCCGTACTGGCCGTTCTACGTGCCCAGTCACGCCTTCCCAAAATATTCATGCTGGTGTCTCCTTTACGCCCTCCTGTTCCCCCACTCAGCTTGTCCCCACTGGACTTGAACAAGCTGTGTCACTTGGCTGTTTGCAGTGCTGTCTTCCTCCTTCTACTATCACCTCGACGAGGCAGAGCTGTCTGCCCGTCTGCTCGCTGCAGTATTTTCAGTACACAGTGGGCCCTTTAAGCTCTTGCTGTATGACTGGCACTTAGTCCTATTCTCCCTGCAGACAGAACCAACACCAAAAGAGCATGCTCACTCCTAGCACACACACACACACACACACACACGTGGAAAGAAATGTAACAAAGGCAACCCAGGACGCAGACAAGCCCCAGAGAAGCAGTTAAAGGAGCAAGAATGGCAAAGAAATGCCATCAGGGAGAGGGATGCCATAGCCCCACACCAGCAGAGGGGCACGGCCTTGACCAGTGTGAGATGGTCACAAGGAGGCAGTGTGTACCTCCTTCTATAAGTCAGTTCAGTCCAGAGGGAAGATAAATGACCACAGAAGGAAACCATTCCCCATAAATCAAGGGGTTTGTAAAGTAGACGGGAGAAACCACTCCACTGAGAAGGGACAGGCCTAGGCTTAGCGGGTTGCCTTGCTCACTGCTCAAGTACCAAGTAGTTCAGGAACAGACTGACAACGTGAAGTAAGAGGTCTCCAGACTTAGAAAGGTTAGAGCCTCCTTCCAAGCTAAAAACAACGACCAGGGAGCCAGCACTATAATAGATATAGTTCATAATAGAAACTACTGAGTGACAAGGGTTTTGCTCAACAAAATAATTATATTATAAAAGAACACCATAAGATCCTATGTAATCAAAAATTTAGTGATGAGTTAGATGGCAAGTAGTACAGAAATGCAGGAAAACAAAAATAAAGCTCCAGGGAATGTACAAACTGCAAGAGATTCAGGGAGGAGAAAGAACTTGAGCTGGGCTGGCAAGAACGGAGCAGGCAAGGAGACGCAGGGCACAAGGAGAAGCAGCACTAACCAAGGCTCAGCCATGCGTGTGTGGAGACATGCATGGCTGTAGAAGAGCTGTGTGCAGGGCGGTGGGGTCAACTGGCAAAGCTCAGGCCATTCCAGCTGCAACACCAGGGAAAGGGGTCGGCAGCTGTCGCAAGCACTCTACCACTATCAGTCTCCTCCGACAGGGAGTAAGGCAACAAGGTGAGAAGTTTCAGATTCACAGTTGACAGCTGCGTGTTAAACAGACTGAGCAGAACTTCACAGGTAAACAGACAAGGCGGGACTGTATTACTGGGGTCTGCGTGGAGGAATTCAGACTGCTGGAGAACAAAGGGATGAGTAAGAAAAAGATTCTAAGAATTATTTTCCAGAAACAAAAGCAGGCAATGGGATGAGGTTAATTATTAGTGAAGGCAGTAAAAAAAAAATAATAATAAAAATAAGAAGGAGTCAGAGATTTCAGATGAGCGGTATGGCCCTGACAGAATGGAAACCTGAGAACCGAACTCAGGGATGTGAAAGCCACGTGACAACTTTCACGTTCCATGAGTTAATGCCACGGAGACCCCATGTGGAGCTGCTCTGTACCAAGAAGGAGTGAAAAAGACAGGAGGCCAGAGCAAAGACACAGGCTCACAGCTACCTGGCCAACAGGGGGACAGCGACCCTCAGAACAGGGAGAAGGTTTTACACCAGGAATTAAAACTTTAATTTCACTATCTGGCCAAATCATTTGTTACACATGCATAGACACAGAAATCATTTATCTTACAAACACTAGAAGTCCTTGTGTCTCCAGACATTTCCGACATGTCTGGAGGCTGTCATGAAGATCAGGGTGCCAGCCAGCCAGCCAGCCTGGCGAGGGGCTCTTCCGGGATACAGATGGCGAGCCTCTTGCCATCATCTTCCCATGCAGAGCAGAGCTACCAGGGCCCCTCTGACCAGCCACTAGTCCCATTCACAAGAGGCTGCCTTCACAGTCCAACTCCTCCCAAAGGCCTCACCTCCTCACACCACCACTGGAGTTAGGATTTCAACACTTGGATTAGGGCAACAAAAACACTGAGTCTACAGCAGCAGTATCAAACGGATGATTCTGAAAACAAAGCGAGAATGTTCAAGGGATGATCTGTCTGAACCGGAAAACGACCTTGTTGAGGAGTGTGACGACAGAAGAAGAGCTTGCAGAATATCATGGCGCCGAGGTCCTCTCCATAGCACAGAAAGGCATAGCTGTGTACTACATGGAGTAAAATATATGCAATTGTTGCCGAAAGTGAGAGCATACCAGGACAGCCATTTGTCTTCCTGTGTGTTTTTAACTTATCAGATATTTCCTTATGTTTTTCAGGGTAGGAATCCATTGTTTTACTTGAAAAACAGAGTGGGAAGGAGATTCGAAGACATTGATCTCCCACCCACTGGTTTAGTCCCCAAATGTCTGCAACAACCAGGGCTGGGTCAGGCCAAAGCCAGGGCTGAGAACTTCCCTAAGGCCCCCACGGGGGGTGGTAGGGAGCCAACAGTGTAAGCCACCACCACTGCCTTCTATGACCAGGAGTAAAAACAGGAGTCAAACCCAGGTACTCCAACACGGGGTACAGGTGCCTCCAGTGGCATCTAAACTGCTACACCAGAGGTCCAGACAATTCCTTAAAAACGAATCATTTCCATTTCATTTAGAACTGTGTTATTCAAACCCTCCCAAATTTTTAAAAAATATTCATAAGAATATCTTACCATCCTTAGTACTGTCGAAAACAATAACTGAGACATTAGTAGAAGGGTTTTTGGGTTTTGCAACATTAAATATGTCACTGGCGGAATGGAAAGAAGGATGAAGAGATGGCAGGTCCTTCAGGGTGCTGTTGGCTGGCAGGGCCGGATCCAGGACAAGCATCGGCACCTTGATGCAGTGTGTCAGCAGGCATTCCAACTGCTTCTCACTGGAAAGAAGTACGAACACGCTCACAACTGCATTCTTGAAATTCAATCAACAACGAAAAGTCTATTGATAACACTAAATTGGATACCACAGATCCTTTTCTACAGCCTAATAAAAAATCATAATAATTTGAGAAATTTTATCTCCCTATAAAAGATTTAGTAAGTTGGGCAAGTATAGTATAAAATTATTGAGGACAGAGCTCTCAAGCTACTTTTAATAAATAAACATTGCTGCCAAAAACTAATAACTCAAAAGTACCCAAGAAATTAAGCAATTCATTACCAACATTTTAAAAGATTGCTCATAACGTCAATGAAGGTAGACTCTGACCAAATTAAAATCATCCTACCAGATATAATTCACCAACTCCCATTAGAATATACACAAATACTTTGGATATGATACTAAACTTAAATATTTTTTTCTGAATGTAAAAGTACCTAGAATGAGCATGACTTGGACAAATTCACGGGCAGAGGACACAGCTAAATGTTCACGAAGTGCGAAGTACAACTGGTCTAATTATACAACATTGTTCAGCTTCCTTAAGAACGAAAGGAATGCAAAAGCAGACAATACAACAGCAACTTGCGGTTACTACATTACCACCCCTCAAAAAATGACTCACTGTCAGGTGCAGTTAACCTATTCCTTACAAACTCTGTTGCTGTCGAACTCCTTCATGGAGTAATCTGGTAAGACACATATTACATATATTACCCAAATCTACTTATTCTGACTCACAAAGACATATATATGTTCCTTCCTCTGTAATCTTACTTCCAGGTATCTAGTCCAAGTAGGAAGAAGAAGCAGGAAACACAAACACACATACAGAAAATGCTTACAGGATCAAATAAAATATCACAAAATATTTACAATAGTGAAAATACTGAAATGTTCAACACTCGGTCAATTAAGCACAGCCACTTTACAGATTACCAAACTACTATGATAGAAAAGTACTGGGGCTGGCACGGTGGTATAGCAAATTAATCCTCCACCAACAGCACTAGCATTCCATGTGGGAACTGGTTCATATTCTGGCTGCTACACTTTTAATTCAGCTTCTTGCTAATGACCCAGGAAAGTCCTTGGGCTCTCGACCCACCTGGGAGACCCAGAAGAAGCTGTTAGCTTCTTGCTCCCAGCTTCAGGCCAGCCCAGCTCTGGCCATGGGAGCCAATTAGGCAGCAAAGCAGCTGATGGAAGATCTTTCTATCTGCCTCTCCCTCTCTGTAAATTTGACTTTCAAGTAAAAATAAGTAAATTTTTTAAAAAGAAAAAAAAAAAAAGATGGAAAGGTATGAAGCATGAAGCTTAGGTATCAGAGCAGAAATATTTATGATTATATAAAATCATAAAGTATAAACTATACAATGATTATACACTATAATGGTGAAAATACGCACATAATGATAAAATTGATAATAATAGTTGAATGGGGGGGTCACAGGAGTATGAAAGCTTTTTCCTTTTCACTTGCCAAGCAACCTTTCCTGTAAAACTACTACATTATTTTATTTAAATAGTTTAACAATGATTTTAAAAACAGTGTTAATATCAGTATAATTTAAAAATTTATATAACACAAACATGATAATCTTAAAATCTCTCAGCATCATTTCCACAAACATTGTTTCAAGTCTACTGAGCAGCCAAGCGGCAGTTGATAGAGAATTCTGTAAGATAAGGAGGAACAACAGTGACCCAAATCATATATCCAGCATGAGATATATCTGATCTTCCTTACTGCGAAATTTCCTCCTTAGGTCCTTAAATATAAAACAGACAACTTGATAGCTTTTAAAGATAAGAAAATACATATTGAATATATGGTAAGTGATGGTTATAAATTTCACAGATGGAAACATATACGTATTCTAGAGCAGAAGTGGGCCGAGAAAACAATGCAATAAGACAGACAGAAAAGAAAAATCTGCTGTATAAACTCTTCCAAAATTAATAAACCTTTGGTAGTTAAGATCCAAACAACCAGAGTTCCACTCCAGCCACAGCTGCAGCACTGGGAAAATTTTCCTTCAGTTTGAGTGTCAAAAACTAGCAAGTAAGGCCCAGCGCAGTAGTCTAGCAGCTAAAGTCCTTGCCTTGCACTGAGATCCCATATGGGCGCCAGTTCTAATCCCGGCAGCCCTGCTTCCCATCCAGCTACCTGCCTGTGCCTGGGAAAGCAGTCGAGGACGCCCCAAAGTATTGGGACCATGCACCCATGTGGGAGATCCGGAAGAAGCTCCTGGCTTCAGATCACCTCATCTCTGGCCGTTGCGGCCACTTAGAGAGTGAATCAGCAGATGGACAATCTTTCTGTCTCTCCTCCTCTCTGTATATCTGACTTTCCAATAAAAATAAATAAATATTTAAAAAAAAAATTTTAAACTAGTAGAGTAGAAATAATATGAGCAACAGAATAGATGCAAACTACAACAAAACAAAAATAGTAATAATTTGAAATTTTCACTTGAGCACTTCCATTTTTGTTGAGAGGACATCAAAATACTTACCTCTTTTTAGTGGGTTCTGTCGTATTCCTTCCAAGGATTTCTCTGACAAAAAAGAAATAGCATTCATATCATATGTATGATCTAGTGCCAAAACCAATTTTTTAATGTTGTTGGTTATCCCACTGTAATTAACAGAGTGGTAGATGTTTATAATAGCTAAAGCACACAATAACTCACATTCCAAAGGAATGCTGTCAGCGACACTGTACCCACTGTAACCAAGTTGATTTACTTAAAGTCTTTACTGATAAAACATGTGCCAAGCTGTTTGCTCTAACAGGGTCCTAATCACTTGTTAAAGTGTCAGCTGGCCAACACCTGCAGTGACTGGGCAGAGACCCATAAGTTCACTGTACCTGACAAAGCAAATACCATGACTAAGATCATACATCAAGGAAGAAGGGTCTAAGTTTCTAACTTCATAATCTATGATCTGACACAGAAAGCAGTAAAGAGAATACACTTATTCTAACAACTGTGTATGCCAATTTTAGTTTTCAAAGGAAAACTATAAAGCTATTTTACATAATAAAGCTTATTTCAAGAGATTAAATTTGGGACTCAGACTGACTGAGCATGAAGCTTGAGGCCCCATCAGGCAGTTCCCCCACTTTTAGACCATTTGGAGACTAAGCCATCACTAGAGCAGCAGGTGATAAAACAGCCTACAAGAAAATGAGCCTACAGCTGGCTGAGGTGGCTGAGTCCTTCTTGGGCACCAAGAAACAAGGATCAGATGGGTAATTGCCTTAGTCTCATAACGGCATGGGTCTGAGGCAGAGTTTGGTCAGGACAGCACTGTTAAAATTACCCATGCTTTTCAAAGTACACTTGCCTTCACGGTATTTGTGTGTATTTCATTTTTGAAAAAATCAGTTTTACCTCATTGCTTTCTGCTCTTCTTCCATCTGTTCTCTGACCTGCTGCAGTTCCTTCAGTAGTTCAACATCTGTGCCATTCACCCAGGTATAAACCACATCGATTGGCATGGGCAGACAGAGCCTACGGGAAACCCACAAATCCTCCGGCTCAAATACATTTTTCCAAATAAAAGCATAACAGGTTTTAAATGCAGAGGTTATGGAAAATCAATGAAAGGATAACCTGACCAATGCATATATCACAGAATGCACATTTTCAAACCAGAGCTTAGGGGTGGGGGGAACTAATATGTGCGAAGTACCTTCACCATGAGCTGTAATAATCCAGACACTCTATACAATCTGATTCTCAGAACCAACCTATAATGAAGCTGATTGCTTCATTTAGAAAACTGTTATGGGCAGGGGCCTGCAAGCGTGGTAAGACTACACAAATTGTGGGAAACACAGCAACCAAACATAAAAAACAAATTAGAAGCTTAGAGAACAAGTTACCACTCCATGATGAAAGCCCAGCCCTGCTTAACGCTGCAGCCGGCTTACGCCCTGCACTCCCCAACCCAGGCCCTCCTCGTCCTCTTGATCCCTTTCTTCACAGCCTTTATCACCCAACATACGAAATAACTCACAACTTGTTGCCTCTACTGTCACAGTGCCCCTTGCCTAGACTGCAAGCTCCAATGCAAGTAGCTCCTCGGCTTTGTTCCCTGTATAATTAGCAGAACGCTAGGGCACCTACTGGGCGCCCAGGAAATATTGCTGAAGAGTGTATAATGTATACAAGACATTATGAACAAAATCCTACATATCCTATGTATAGGGTCTCTATGCCCACCCTTTCTTTTATATCTCATCTTCAGAATATATAGTCAACTCTTAACTTTGCCATTTAAGTCTCACAACAGCGTTTTTATTCAGGTTTTACTTCCACCAACACCATTCTTCCCCTTCCCTCCCTGACTTATCCGAAATCCACTTGTCTCTGGACCGAATGTCACCTAATGTCACCTAACGCCCTATGATACCGGAGTTCATGTATATACTTGGATTCTCCTATTAATTTGGAGCAGTTTGCTCTGAGTTTGATACTTAGCAAGAAGCTGTACAACTTTCTGTTTTGTTTTTAGCCAAGAACTAAGGTTTAGCCACATTTTATACTCACAACTGAGTCAAAGGGTTGACCTTTTCGCTGCAACCATATTACTCAATGCAAGACTAATCATCTCATGGCGAAAAGTAAATGTAGTTTGGTGGAAAAATAAATGGAAGTGATAACCACCTTTAGCTTTATTAAACATGACTGAGATGACCAAATACTAGGGGAATTTTTCCACTCAGCAAATCAGTATATACTGAGCACTCAATATGTGGTAGGCATTGCGGTGGGTATTGGAAACACAGCAAAAATACAACAAAATTCAAAGATGTGCCTTCACAGAGCTTGCATTCTGCAAGGGTGAAAATAAGAAATAAACCAAATAAAATTTACAGTCAAATGATATTAAATGTTATGAAGGAAAAAAAACAGAAAATAGGGATAAGACGTGTCTACTGCGGAGTCAGTTTTAAACAGAGTAAGGCCATCAGGGGTGGCCTTTACCGAGAAGGTGGCATTTCAGCAAAGGTGTGCGGGAAGTGGAGAAATGAGCCAGGTGGGTAACTGGGGATGAATAGCCCAGAGAGAGGGAACACCACATGTGAATACACGGAGGCACACACATATCTGGCTTATCCAAGAGACCAGCAACTACATCCCCCAGGCAGGAAGAAGGGCACAAGGAGAGATGAAGGTTAATGAGGAAGCAGGGGGTGCAGATCTTCACCAGGGAAATGAGGCATCTCTCCGCGCCTCAGAATACCTAAGGGTTGTGCACCTGCCAACTCTCTCGTCCAGTGGTCACTACCATCTGGAGAACAAAGTCTAACCTTTAAAATCTGCACCTTATACTCTGGGCCTTCCAGTTGTATATCTATGCCTGAATGTGAAAAAACCTACAGGACTTTATGACTTTGAACACACATTTCTCTTTGGCTAGAAGATTCTTTCGCTCATGCTTCCTTTAACCTTCTCTTCCTTCAGTCCCCCGCCATCACTTCCCCCACACAGCCTTCACTGCTTCCAGTGCAGCTTCTATAATGACCCGTATCATCAGGATGCCCAGGGTTACTGCGCTGCACTGTTACCCATGTGTGCACAGGGGATGACGGCCCATCTCCAGAGCAGAAATGGCATCACAGGTTCTGTCCCAGCCACATCAATTATTTTCTCTTTCCCACACCTTCAGGCTCTGTCTTCTCTGATGGTACACAACCCCTGCCCCATCTAGGCCTTCCCTCCATTTATACCATAACCCCACAGAATTTGGAAACTGAACACCAAAATTCCCTAAAATTTCTGTTTAGTAAGTCTAAATCTCCTGATTCACACAAGGTACTTCCAAATGTGTAAGAGAAAATGAACATAGAAGAGAAATTCATTTTTGTGCAAAAATTTATGAAGCCCATGCAGTTTTTCCATATACTTTCTGAAGACTCCTGGTATGTAGGCTGAGCTTTTCTTGCCCCACTAAATGTCAGCTCTATACAAGGCCCATCGGTTTACCTTATTCACCCCCCTTGTGCCTGAAGACCTGAAACAGTGCCTGCTTCACAGGTGGGGGTTAATACATGTTTGTTGTGCAAATAACTTGGTCCCTCCTTCAGAATATATATATATATATATATATATATATATCATTATCTTCCACTAAAAAAACAAACAAGCAAAACTACCTATCTCATATGTCCACATGTAAATTACCCAAGGTCATCTCCTTCCAACCTTTTCCTAAGGGAGTCTACACTCAGACTAAAACTAGATTTTTTAAAATACTGCCCAAGTGACTTTTTTTTTTTTTAAAGAAAGTTTAGGAAGCTTGGGATTTGGGGGGATTACATCTTCTGAAGTTCTTCTGTAAAAGTAATTATTTGCTGCTAAAGTCTTTTTTACAGAATCAAGAGACACCCATACACACACTGAATTCAGAAAAGCAACGTGAGTGTATTACAGACAGTGGCTCTAATAGGGCCACATTATATGATCAAGTTAACTCTCTTGTGAAACTGATGGAGATCGTGTGATCTCCACAAGGCCAGTGAGTCAGTTGCTCATCCTTAACATGGCCACTGAGAGGCGAGAGGCTGAGCTTTCATTCTAACCACAGACCACTATGCGGCCCCTTAGTGAGAAGGAAGGCTTCGTCTCAGACTCAAAGACTAGCTCAGCCTGACTCATCACCAAAGCAGAAGTGACACTGGTACTACTTATTTTAATCACTAGTTGCTTTTAAATGAATTAAAGTCATTGAATAGAAGCGGATTTCAAAAAGTTCATGGGGAAATACATATTGTACAAAAACTAGGCATGGATTTCAAAGATTTGCTGCACCAAATAAGCATCTTTTAATGACATTTTTCCATACACTTTGGAAGTGCCCCTGTAGTTCCTTGGTTCTACTCTCTATGAACAGGTACAAAGACACAGAATTTAAATAGTATCCCAAAACTAAAGAGCAAGAAGAGTTTTCACACTTAATCTAACATCCATACCTGCATTTAGTAAATCAAGTCACTGGCTCTGGGTATTGACATGCTCACTCATTACTGAAATATTTTTTTTCTTTATTCAGGTAAAGCCATCATAAAACACTACAGTATTCAACACATACTTCATAGGACCCACTTATTAATCATCACCAAAAGGAAGTAGAAGCCGTACCAGAGTGCCAGATCAAGTGCAGGCTGCTCTGCTTTCAATCCATTTTCCTGCTGAGTGCCTGGGAGAGCGCAGATGGCAGCCCAAGCTATGGGGTCCGTACTACCGATACAGAAGACCTGGACTGATGAGGGCTGCAGGCTGCAGCCTGGCTACACCCCAAATCACGTGGCCATCTGGGAAATAATCAATGGATAGAGGCTTCTGTCTTTTCCCCCCTTTCTCTGTAATTTTGACATTTAAACAAATAAATAAGTCCAAGTAACACTTATTAATTCATTTCAAGGTAACATTAACATTCACACTAACATGAATAACTTCTATAATAAAAGTAAACATATTTTCTAAAATAACAAAAAAAATTAAGTGATAAGAGAGGCATTACACTTACGAAAATCTTTGCAAAGACTGGCTAAACTGAAGAAGCAAATATTCTGCATTTAGTATGTTGCCTACATGGCTTTTTTTGTTTGTTTTGGTTTTTAAAATCAGAGTTACAGAGAGAGAGGAGGGAGAGAAACAGAAGTCTTTCATCCACAGACTCACTCCTCAAATGGCTTCAACAGCCAAAGCTGAGCTGGATCCAAAACCAGGAACCAGGAGCTGCTTCTGAGTCTTCCATGTGGGTGTAGGGGCCTAAGGACTGGAGCCATCCTCCACCTTTTTCCCAGGCTATTAGCAGGAAGCTGTATGAAAAGTAGAGCAGCTAGGACACGAACAGGCATCCATATGGGATGCAGGCACAGGATTAGCTTGCTATGCCACCATGCCGGCCCTTACATTTTGCCTTGATTGAAGTATATGGAAAAAACCCAAGTTCAAAGAAAACCTGACTAGGGGAATCACTCTTTATCCTTTATGCAAAATGTGTGGGGCTGAGATGTTGGAGTTTTTCATATTTTACAACATTTGTTTAGTCTTTACTTGTTGACCATCCCTAATCCAAAATCCAAAATGATCCAAAATTTATTAAACTCTTGGTAGCATAATTTCAAAAAGTCTTCAGAAAATATTAGATTTTGGAACACTTCTGATTTTTGGAATAGGGATATCCAACCTGCATTCAAAACAAGCTTCTCAAACATTAGTTACAATGTGTAATATGAAACCATACTAATCAGGTTTTTTTTTACTTCTATGTTAAAATGCATTGATCTTTCCTGTATTCTGAATGGTTGTTTTATTCATGCAAGATTCTGTTACAAAATGGACTAGTTATCTCAAATGTCAACACAGTTCATTATTTCTCTACATAATACTCACAAATATGGATTGTAGAGATGACACTACAAACCTAACTGGGAAAGTCTTGATTTTGAACAGCAAGTTTTAGAAAATTCTGATAGGCATTAAACAATATTGTTTATTTTCCTCCACATAACAGTGTTGTTTTGTTCACTGTCAAGGAAAACCCGCTAACTAACCAAATCTAATCATCCTGTCATCTGTCCTTTCAAGTCACAATGGTGACCTAACGGAAAGATTCATGGTTAAGCTTGCAACTCAACCACACAGGTCTAGCATTTTTTTTCTGCACTTTCCATTTCGTCATTTAAAAGTTGTAATCAAACTAATAATTTTTACTGTTTTTGCTTCCTTTTTCTTTATATGATGTTTGCGTTGTCGATCAGAGTGGGAAGGGTCTAGGCTTAGGGAAAAGTGGGTGTGATCACTGTTTCCAAGCTTTGTATTTCTTCCTCCCATTTCTGGGAAGAACAGGGAGCCAGGGATAGGCCATACCCAGTTTCCCAACCATCCCAGCACCCAAGGAATTTTTACTGTTTCATCATGAACCTTTTCTTTCCTTCTTTCTTTTTCTTTGACTTTTTTTTCAACATGAATACTTTAAGTATAATTAGTTTTCATTTCCCTATAAATACCTGATGGTGAAGAATACTATGTTTCAAACAACACATACATAATTTACCCACTACTGTTTTCACACCTTCAAATGTCAACATAGCAAGAACATACAACATTGTCCACAACAGGGTAAGGCCCAAAGATTCGCTCTATACTGAAGGGACATTGCTCTCTTTAAAGAACACAGTAAGAACTTTAAAGAACACAGTAAGAGAAGCCCGGTGTGATAGCCTAGTGACTAAAGTCCTCATCTTGCACACCTGAGATTCTATACGGGCACCAGTGTGTATCCTCGCAGCCCCACTTCCCATCCAGTTCCCTGCTTGTGGCCTAGGAAAGCAGTCACGGATGGCCCAAAGCCTTGGGACCCTGCACCCGTGTGGGAGACCTTATAGGAGACATGGAAGAAGCTCCTGACTCCTGGCTTCAGATCGGCTCATCTCTAGCTGTTGCAGCTGCTTGGGAAGTGAATCAGCAGATGAAAGATCTTTCTCTCCATCCTCCTTTACTCTGTAAAAATCTGACTTTCCAATAAAAATAAATAAATCTTTGGGGGGAAAAAAAGGAACTAAGTAATAGTAAAGTTTTAGGTTAACTCAAAGACTCTGTTAGCCTTTTTTCACTGAGTCATTCAAGACCATACTGGTGTTTGGTACCATATGGTATAATTAGTACATATATTTTTAAATCTACTTTGGACAGAAACCACTTAGGCACTTACTCAAACAGAGGGACAAGGAAGTGCCTCTAGGCAGCGGAGGAGCATGGGTGCAGATGGTGATGCAGTCTAGAGGTACCCAGGAAATTCACACACTATTATGAATCCACACAAACTAACACCAGTAGTTTTTCTGGTTCAGTTAAAGAATGAAAATCTATCAGAAAAATAGACAGATTCCAGACAGGTCTCCAGTTATGGCCTCAGACATGTAGATGAGGGTACAGACACCCGACATTTCCTCTGGTCTCTTTCTGCTCCTTAGCCTGTACCGAACAGCTCTAGGTCAACATAATAAAAATGACAATAGATAATGCATAAATGTGAATAAATAAATAAAACAGAGGCAACTCAAGTTCACTTTTTTCAAGGAAGAATGATGAGGACAGAAGAAGCCCTGTCTCCAACCACAGACATGCACAAAACAGCAAGAGCTTTAAGTGGCATCGTGCAAAAGGACCTGTGTGATTCACCTTACCACCAAAAGAAGGAGGATGTTGGAAAAAATTGCTTCCATTCTGAGACCTATCTCACGAGGGAGGCCAAGAAAGGGGTGAAGCAGCAGCACCCCAGGGTGGCCGCAGTCAGACACCTGGCCTGCAGACACCCAGCCCGCCAGGCTGGTGGTGCTCCTCCCACCCAAAGAGGCAACAGAATCAGGTGCCCATCTGGGTGCAGTCCCGACCTGCCAGTTACCTAGAACCGGTTTGATCAATAGAGCACTGTCAACAGTTACCTGGTTCACTCAAGCTACAAGGGAGACAAAATTAAATTCACAGAATTGGGGAAAATCAATGCGATCATGCAATTTAAAGAACTCAATGCACTGCAAGAGGGGGAGGGGCTGTTCTCTGGGAATCAGACTTTTTTTTTCATTCATTATGAGCAAATTACAAGGTTTCTGCAAGAGGTGAACTCTTGCACACGCTAAACTGTTATCTGCAACTTGGAAAGACCCTTCACAGTCACATAAGTCCGAATAACACATTCTATTTTAAGATCTCTTCTTACCGATTCTGAAAGGATTTCCCAGCAATATTGTCTCTGTAGGAATCAAACAAAACATGGTATTGATCCCTGCTCCATTCCAGAACCACCTAGAAAGGGAAGAAAAAGAAACAATGATTTTTTTGCAACAAAAAGAACACTTTTCATGGACCCAGTGCTGTGGCCTAGCAGCTAAAGTTCTTGCCTTGAATGCGCCAGGATCCCATATGGGCACCAGTTCTAATCCCGGCAGCTCCGCTTCCCATCCAGCTCCCTGCTTGTGGCCTGGGAAAGCAGTCAAGCACAACCCAAAGCCTTGAGACCCTGCACCTGCATGGCTGACCCAGAAGAAGCTCCTGGATCCTGGCTTCGGATTGGTGCAGCTCCAGCTGTTACACACACTTGGGGAGTGAATCATTGGATGGAAGATCTTCCTCTCTGTCTCTCCTCCTCTCTGTAAATCTTCTTTTTTTTTTTTAAAGTAATTTTCATTTTGTTTCATTAGAAATTACTAAAAGAACAGGTACAAGAATCAAAAAGAATTCATTTACCTGGTACCCAGCATACAGTAGACACAGCACTAGATCCAGGCTAATAAGCTATAGTTTCTGGTCCAGACAACCTAGTTTCTCAATGTGCTTGGGATAAGGTGGGACAATCAGAGAGGTCTAACGGGTGCCACACTCCAGTGGGGTCATGATGCAGGGGTTCCCCAGGCAGGGGAAAGGACAGTGCCAGTTGGTTAGAAGAGTGGGTTCATAGGCTGACACACAGTAAGGGCAGGTGTTCTGAGCGCAGCTATGTTTTCCATTCTGTCTACAGTGCAAGCTGGCTAGATACCTGGAAATGGGGCTGGGAAAGGAACCTGGGCTCTGACTGTGACACGCCTCATATGCCTTTGGAAGCAAGGCACTTACGGATTTTAAAGGAAACACACAATTCATCTCAGGTTTGGGGAAGAGTTTCCATAGCATGGTTAACACCATCCAAAAAACAGACAAGATACGAGGAATAATGACATTCGTAGCCATAAGATGAAAGCTGATGACTTTGCTAAATATTTCAGGAAAAAAATAGGAAGCTTTAGATACAAGCTCCCTCATGTCTGCATCCTAGATCTATAAGCCCTACCTCCCAGGCCCATTTCCGTCCTTACTCCTTTTATTGTAGAAGTGTCGTCCTCTTTGCAAACATCTAACAGCTGTTCTTTTGCTCTGGATCTCATCAACTACGATGTTATGGAGATCTTAACTCTGGTCTCGTCTCAAAAGGATAATTCCGACTATCACATAAATACTACATTACTCTACCAGAAAAGCTTGCCTTTCTCTCCATCGTTCAGTAGGTCACTTCACCCTCAAATTCTATTGGTAGGTCACCCTCCCCACTGGCCTTGCCAAGGCCTCTATTTTGTCAGACCAATGATATTTTCCCAACTTGACTCCATGTACAGTGGTTGTCTTGTTGCTCTTTCTTGAAACACTTGTTGGTTTTGCTCTCTATCATTTATGTGACTCCTAGCCAGCTCATCCTCTTCTATCTGATTATTAAACATGTCTTTCATTCAGTTTCTCTTCCCAGGATTCCTCCTATGCTGTCAGGGCTGCTCCCAGCTCAAGCACAGAGTCCTGCTGTATTTAGAAGGCTGTGGAAGCTCCAGTCACTCAGATTCCATGCCAGCCGGCAGGAAGCTAGTGGACATGGACTTCTTTTAAGGAGACCGTGAAGGTTGCACCTGCCACTTGTTTTTAACTGGCCAGAACTCAGACATACGCACATGGCCAGCTACACAGCAGGCCATGTAGATCTCCGTCATCTTGCCGCAAAAGCTCACACCTTGGCTAATCAACATACCCATCACCTCTCGTTCTTTTTTTGTGTATGTTTAGAACTTTATTTTGAATGAGACAGAAAGAGAGCTAGCACACCCACCAACAGGTGCACTCCCTAAATATCCACAACAGTCAAGGTCAGGCTAGAGCAAAGCCAAGAGCTGGGAATTCAATCTAGATTTCCCACATGACTGGCAGGAACCCAGTCATCTGAGTCATCATTACCACGTCACAGTGTCTGCACTTGCAAAAAGGTGAAGTCAGGAGTCGAATCCAGGCATTCTTTCTTTCTTTCTTTATTTATTTTTATTACAAAGTCATATATAGAGAGAGCAGAGGAGAGACAGAGAGGAAGATCTTCCGTCCGATGATTCACTCCCCAAGTGACCCCAACGGCTGGAGCTGAGATGATCTGAAGCCAGGAGCCAGGAGCTTCTTCCAGGTCTCCCATGTGGGTGCAGGATCCCAAAACTTCGGGATGTCTTTGACTGCTTTCCCATGTCACAAGCAGGGAGTTGGGAAGCAGGGCTGCTGGGATTAGAACAGGCACCCATATGGGCTCCCAGTGCATTCAAGGCGAGGACTTTAGCCGCTAGGCCATGGTGCTGGGCCCGAATCCAAGCATTCTGATAAAGAATACAAGTGTCTTAAACACTGAGCTAAATGCCTGCTCCTCCCTGGTAAGAACACTTACTCTCTTAGCAACTCTCGAGTCACCATGGCTGTGAAATACCAAGCTACCTCTAGAACTTGACCTTCCATTTCCCTAAGGTCAACATAATGATTAATCCTTTGCTACAGCCGCAGTGCAGGCGCATTAACCCTTCCAGGTCAGTACCAACACAGGTTTCTCTGAACGAACAGCATTAGCTCTTACCATCGCCTGGTATCACATGTGCGAGTACAGAGCTGTAAGATGCTATCCACTTGGCTAAACGGATATAGTTCATGTGCCTATTTCCAATAATACAGTTGTACTGATTCACATCTATTTACAAACAGAATGGCTCAACAAGGTATTGACACCTTGTTGAATTTCCAAAAATCTCTATTATTTTTGTGAGACAAATTGCACACACAAAAAATAAACCTTACCAAATTGTTCTTAGTTGCTGCGTCCCAGAAGATGGGTACAAAGCCTCAGAGAGGGCGCATTTCATCAATGGCCAGGAAATGGAGACATGCAGTCTGCTCCCACAAAGTCGCTTCCTCAGCCAGATAAATGCATCTTACCATCTCCAAGCCACTTTCCTCTCTTCTCTGAACGCTATCCATTTGGGTGTTACCTTGTAACATTCTTACATTAACTCTTTCATTTTAATTGCTATTTTTAAATTTTGATTTTATTTGTTGTTATTTTCCCACCACATTAGCCTTTTGTTAGATTCACCAGGTTATAAACTAAGGGTAGAGAATTGTCTACAACCAGCCATGGGCCCAGCATGGCAGCCTAGCGGCTAAAGTGTCCTCATGTTGCACGCGCCAGCATCCCATAACAGTGCCAGTTCATATCCCGGCTGGTCCATTTCCCTTCCCGCTTCCTGCTTGTGGCCTGGGAAAGCAGTCAAGGGCAACCCAAACCCTTAGGACCTGGTATCTGCATGGGAGACCTGGAAGAAGCTCCTGGCTGCTGACTCCTGGCTTCAGATCAGCTCAACTTCAGTCTTTGTGGCTACTTGGGGAGTGAACTAGCAGATGGCAGCTCTTTCTCTCTGTCTCTCTTTCTCTCTGTAAATCTTACATCCCAATAAAAAATAAATAAATCAATCTTAAAAAAAAAAAAAAGGTGGAGCCATGTAAGAAAAGGTTGGATTTAGGAAGCTGGGACCGTCCAAGGGAGACCCTCCCAGTTCCACCACCTATTAGCCATGCAACCACAGACAGGTCACAGGATATCCACACTTCCACTTTCTCAAGCATAAGGCAGGAACAACACTGATTTCATTAGTTTGCTAAGTTGGTGGTACTCACACAAAGTGGGTAAATAAGGAGGAACAAGACAGGCACACTAGAAGAGGTGGATAAGCATAGCATGCATGTCTGAATCACAGTCATCACAAAGAAAAGACATCTCAAACATTTACCGGCAGTCATATGGTTGTAAATTTTATACGGCAAGGAAGCAAAGATAGGAACAGCGGGTGGTAGGCACTGTGGCACTGGGTAAGCCACACTCTTAGGCTCCTGCATCCTCTGTCCGAGTGCCAGTGAGTCCCGGCTCCGCACCTGCCCATGAGGCTTCCTGCTAATGCCCGCCTCGGAAGGCAGCACATGATGGCTCAGGTAATTGGGTTTCTGCCACTAACGTGGGAGACGCTGATGAGAGTTCCTGGCTTCTGCCTCCAGCCTGGCCTAGTTTCGGCTGGTACACCCATTTCTGGAAGGAATCAGAGGATGGAAGACTTCTCTCTGTGTGTCTCCTCTTTTCTCTGTCACTCTTTTTAAAACATGAAAATTTGATATATTTCACAGACAAAATATTGGTCCTCAAAAACCCTCCTACTTGCCATTGAGAGCTATTACTCCAACTGCCTCCTTTGCATACCATTCTCTTAAAAGTATCCACTTTGCCCTGGTATTAGGGACAGCCTGTTGTTTAAAATTTGGCACTTAATTTTAAAATTAAGACACCAGCTATGAAAATATTACATTAGCTCTGATGTACCCACCCAAACAAAGTATTACTGACAAAGTAATTACTGCAAATATTAATTGCAGGTAGATTATTCTATCAGTAAAAGTGTCTGTCACTTCTAGGACTGCACCTTTACAACCATGGCATTCAAAGTACTCAAGAGCTGGTCAGTATTCACAAAAGGGCAGCCAAGTCTGTTCATTTGCTCACTGAAGAGAATAGGGCATACGTACCACACACACACACCTTACCCCCACTCATACACACACACCCTACCCCGTGGCATATGCAATACACACACACACCCCTACCTTACCCGACGCACCCCACACCCTCAAGCCAGGTGCTCCATAACAAGGTCCAAACTGTGAGGCAGATAGAGATGGCTCATCTCCCACAGAGAGGCTCCACCTTATACTGAGCAGCACTAAGCAGATCAGACTCCAGCACCAGGCTCCCTTCACTGCACCAGGCTGCGTCCTGTGACACTTCTTACCAGCGTTAGCTCGGTCAAAGCCACCAGGAACGTGGTCACTCAAGCAGTTCTGAAACTGGTGTGCTGCTAGCCTGCTTCGGTGACCCAGAACTGCTTCCCTGGCACGCTGATGAACGCCACGTGCCACATACCACATGCCACAAGCAG